TGTTCACCCCCCGAGGTGTGACCGTAGGAGTTTACCCCCGGGGTATGACCCCCGGGATGTTAACCGCGGAGTGTGACTGCCAGGGTGTGTCCACGAGGATGTGAACGCAGAAGTATTGAATACAGATTGTGAACCCCCGGAGTGTGACCTCGGGGTGTGAACGCGGAGGTGCTAACCGGCAGGGTGTGACCGTGGGGTGCTGACCGCGGGGTGTGACCGCGGGGTGTGACCTCGGGGTGTGACCGCGGGGTGTGACCACGGGGTGTGATCGCAGGGTGTGACCGCGGGGTGTGACCGTGGGGTGCTGACCGCGGGGTGTGACCACGGGGTGTGACCGTGGGGTGCTGACCGCGGGGTGTGACCGCGGGGTGTGACCTCGGGGTGTGACCGCGGGGTGTGACCTCGGGGTGTGATCGCGGGGTGCTGACCACGGGGTGTGACCGCGGGGTGTGACCGCGGGGTGTGACCGCGGGGTGCTGACCGTGGGGTGTGACCGCGGGGTGTGACCGCGGGGTGTGACCGCGGGTGTGACCGAGGGGTGCTGACCACGGGGTCTGACCGCGGGGTGTGACCGTGGGGTGTGACCGCGGGGTGTGACCGCGGGGTGTGACTGTGGGGTGCTGACCGCGGGGTGTGACCGCGTGGTGTGACTGCGGGGTGTGACCGCGGGGTGTGACCTCGGGGGTCCAGGCAATGGTCTCCCGTCCTGTCCTGCTCCACGGCTGGAGCATCCCTCAGCCCAGACCTCACCAACCACATGCACGTCAGGCTCTGTGCCCCGTCCACACCCCACAACACTCCTGGCAGCCTCCTCACTCAGAAACCTCCCGGAAAGGCCCCAGTGCTGAGCCCCACCCGGGACCACAAATCCTGGACCACCAGGCCCTGATGGAGAAGCTGAGAAAGGGAGGAACGGGGTCGCGGTCGCCTTCCTGCCACGGCACAGAGTCCTGGGCTCCATCTGTGGTTACATCCTCGCTTTGAGCCCCCTGAAATGAGGGGGAGGGGCAGGGGGAGGTAGCAAAGCCAAGGAGGACACAAGAGGGAGTTACCTAATGACCCAGGAGCCAGAGCCACCCACCCCCAACCCACCCCTGGGGCCTAGAGCAGCCGTTGGGAAGCCGTGCAGGGAAAAGCTGTGTAAGAAAGTACAAGTCATTTGTGAAGAGCAAAGTCGCAGGAGCGAGTAAGAAGTGAACGTTAACTTAACAGAATCACGGCTCAAGGGAGCTGGGAGGTCAAGGAGCTGGGGAGGCAGCGGTGTGTAAGGAGGGAATTGGGTGACGGGGTGAACTGTCCCCCGGGGGGAAGCCAACAGGTGATGCCTCGAAGGAAGACGTGGCAACATGTTGAAGGAGAAATACATGCATTGTTTTTTGAAAAAGTGAAAGTTCTGAGTCTGGGGAGCAGGAAGTGGGGAGGAGGGAGCAGACAGAAGCCTGCAGTTGTTCATAACAGGGTCCTACTGGACTATTTGATTCTGTAGTTCAGGTGCAGGTATAATTTTGATTTAAAGATATAAAACTAGACTTATGCCCTAGCCGGTTTGGCTCAGTGGATAGAGCATTGGTCTGTGGACTCAAGGGTCCTGGGTTCGATTCCGGTCAAGGGCACATGCCCGGGGTTGTGGGCTCAATCCCCAGTAGGGGGAGTGCAGGAGGCAGCCAATCAAGATTCTCATTATTGATGTTTCTATCTCCCTCTCCTTTATTTTCTGAAATCAATAAAAATATATTTTTAAAAAATAAAAATATAAAACTAGACTTTTCAAAAAGGCATTTCAGGGCAGCAACTACACTGCCATGTTCATTCAGGTTAGGCAGCAGGGCCTGCTCTCCGGGACCTTCGTTCTCCCCTCCTTTCCCAAGCCACCTGCCCCTCCTAGCGGCTCCACCTCCGAGGTGCAGGAGCCAGGAACCGGACTAGAGTCCAGCAGCTAAACCCAGAGCCAGTCCAGCCTGACGAGGAGACACAGGGTTCTATCTAGGACACACACACACTCTATCAGCTGTGCAACAACCCCCAAAACTATAGTGGCTGAAACAGCCATCATTTATTTTTCACGAATCTACAGATTGGCTGGGACTCACCTACCTGGGCTGGGCTGGGCTGGGCTGGGCTAGGCTGATCTAGCCTGGGCTCACTCACGCTGGTAGGCTGGCAGAGTGCTGGCTGGTCTCGGGTGCCTCAGCTGGGATGACTCCCTTCCAGCAGGCTAACCAAGTGTGTTCTTGTGACAGAGGCAGGATTCTAAGAAAGAGAGCAAACGAGTAAATGCCCTGAAGGCTGAGGCATAGGACAATCACACCATCACTTCTACCACATTCTATCCACCAAAGCAGATTGGCAGGGGAAGGGAGTGGGGGTACACGGACTCCATTTTTTTCTTTTCTTTTTTCTTTTTATTGACTTCAGAGAAGAAGGGAGAGGGAGATAGAAACCTCAATGATGAGAGAGAATCACTGATCGGCTGCCTCCTGCACACTCCCAGTTGGGGATTGAGTTCGCAACCCGGGCATGTGCCCTTGACCGGACTCGAACCTGGGACCCTTCAGTCCGCAGGCCGACGCTCTATTCTTGATGAAAGGAGCTGCAGAGCATCATTGCAAAAGGCATGGATGGTGTGTGCATGTGAAGAATTGGGGCCACTTTTGCAACCAATCTATTACACCCACACAGAGCATTCTTCTCCCCAGAGTGGCCAGGCCTGACCGGAGGCCCAGGGGACACAGCACTGGACCACCTGCTCCAGCCTGACCACTTCCGCAGGGGCCTCTGAGCCATTCCATGCAACCCCCACATCCTCCAGATGAGGAAACAAGGTTCACGGGGGAGGCAGCTGGCTCCAGGCCACACGCCCAACTTCCCCCTCCTCCTGTGCATCAAGCCACTCTGTCCTCTGAGAACGTGGGGAGGGACATGAGCCGCCACCAAGAGTGAGTCACAGATGTTCTCGTCAAGAGGAGGTGGAAGGAAAGTAGGACTGAGTTTAGGCCACAGGAAAAGGGAGGCAGACAAAAGCAGAAACAGGAATGAATTACTCTGGTGAATTCCATTAGCCCAGGGTCTGTATTTCTGAGTAAAATTTCACCCACCACCTCTGTTCTAGACCTGGGGCACCTGAATAGCACAAGACCCTCCCTTGGCCACATCATGGAGTTGGTCTCATCAGAGAAGTGCTCTGGGTCAGAATGCTCGCGCCCTTGGCTGCCCTTCAGTACAAGTCCTCCCTGTAAAGGAGTCCCTGTTTCTCCAGCCCGTGACCCTGGGCGTGGCCTTGGGACGCGTTCTCACCTATGGATGTGCCTGTGCCTTGAGGCTTGTCCTCTCTCCGAGTCTTGTGAACACCTCCCGCCTCCTATAGGAAGTGCTGCCGAGATCCCCAGCATGTGAGTGAGACCCGCTGGCCCCAGGCACGTCAGCCCAGAAGCCCAGCCACCACACAGAATCTTGAGAAAGATTCAATGTTTGCTTTAAGCCACTAAGCTCCGGGGTAGTTTGTTACACAGCAAAAGCTAATAGGGCCCGTGTCTGCAAATGGCCTGTCAGGAGCCAGATCGATTCCAACCCAAAGCCTCCTCTGGGGGTGGCTCAGGGGACTCAGCGCCTCAGAACGAAGCCCCGGTCCAGGTCAGGAGGTCTCTGGGGACAAAGGTGCTAGCGCTGCCCTAGGCCCAGCCAGAAGCTCCTCTTGGAAGAGCAACTTTCTGGAATTCAGTGCTAATCAAGGTGTTCTTTTTTCCTCGGCCACACTTGAATTATTCTATAAAACCTTTTAGTATACAAATTGTAATGGCAGACTCATGTAGTGGCCCCCATATGACCATTACTCAGTTTCAAAAATCATCAGCCCTGGCCGGGTAGCTCCGTTGGTTAGAGCGTCATCCAGATACATCAAGGTTGTGGGTTTGATCCTGGACAGGGCACATACAAGAAGCATAAATAAGTGGAACAACAAAGCTATGTTCCCCTCCCTCTCTGTCTCTCTCTCCCTTCCTCCCTTCCTTCCTTCCTAAAATCATTTAAAAAAATCAATCCTCTGACATTCCTGTTTCACCCATTTCCCCCCGATTTTTTCCCTAGAGTATTTGTTAAATATATTTTTATTGATTTCAGAGAGGAAGGGAGAGGGAGAGAAACATCAATGATGAGAGAATAACCGATCGGCTGCCTCCTACACACCCCCTACTAGAGATCAAGCCTGCAACCCAGGCATGTGCCCTTGACCAGAATCGAACCTGGAACCCTTCAGTCCACAGGCCGACGCTCTATCCACTGAGCCAAACCAGCGAGGGCTCCCTAGAGCAGTGATGGCGAACCTTTTGAGCTCGGCGTGTCAGCATTTTGAAAAACCCTAACTTAACTCTGGTGCCATGTCACATATAGAAATTTTTTGATATTTGCAACCATAGTAAAACAAAGATTTATACTTTTGATATTTATTTTATATATTTAAATGCCATTTAACAAAGAAAAATCAACGAAAAAAATGAGTTCGCGTGTCACCTCTGACACGCGTGTCATAGGTTCGCCATCACTGCCCTAGAGTATTTTAAAGCAACTTTCAGACATTCCATTTTACCAGTATGTAAGGATATTTGCTTTTTTGTTTTGTTTTGTTTAAATATATTTTTATTGGGTCCGCAGGCCGACACTCTATCCACTGAGCCAAACCAGCTAGGGCAGGATTTTTAAAAATATATAATCACACGACTATTATTGCACATTCTCAAGTCAATAATTCCTTATATAATCTAATCTAGAATCCATGTTCAATTTTCCCTGATTATTTTTTTAAAATGTCCTTTTTTTAAGTTGCTTTTGTTTGAATTGTGGACGAAAAAGGGGCCACATACTAAACCTGACAAGCTCAGGGGAGGCCTGCAGAATGGGCCCTACAAACTCAGAAACCGAGAGTAACCACATGAAATGGTCTAAACATAAACATTTCTAACTAAAAGCAGGTCATGCAGGTAGTCACACCTGGGCATGCAGCTCCCTTGACGAAGGTCAACCTTTACCTTAAGTGAACCTGTGTTTTGCCTTTTTGCAACTAAGATAACATACTTCTGAAATGTCTGCGTAACCTCCTTCTCCAATCACCAGACCTCAGACCCCTCATTGTTATCTTGTTCCTCGCATTCCACCTCTATGTGCTGTAAATGTCAATCATTAACTGCCCGCACCCACCAGTGTAAAAGAAGTGTTGTTCTCTCTTTTGCCTTTTTATCCAACCGCAGAGATTTCCCTGCTTTGCTTTCTCCTGCCCCCTTAATCTACCACCAACGGACTCCATATTAACCCTTCCTCCTTTTGTCTCCTCCTTGTATTCTAATATATAAAATAAGCTGCAGCCCTAGCCAGTTTGGCTCAGTGGATAGAGCATCGGCCCATGGACTGAAGGGTCCTGGGTTCGATTCTGTTCAAGGGCACATGCCTGGGTTGTGGGCTCGATCCCCAGTAGGAGGTGTGCAGAAAGCAGCTGATCAATGATTCTCTCTTATCACTGATGTTTCTATCATTCCTTCTCCATTTCTCTCTGAAATCAGTAAAAATAGATTTTAAAAAATAATAATAAAATAAAATAAGCTGTAAAACTGCCATTCTCCGGAGCGTTTTCTCAATCCTGGCAATTATCAGCTTGACTCAAATAAACCTAAAAAAATCTCTGCAAGTTTGGACATTTCTTATAAGATGACAGAATCAAGAGCCCCACAAGGTGGCCACACCTAGTGCCCTTGATTGATGTCTTTTAAATCTTTTTCCTTTTAAAAAAAATTAAGATATAGCTCAATGACATAAAATTCAGCATTTCAAAGCATGCAATATAGTGGCGGGGGCGTTGTGTGTGTTTTTTTAGTTTATTCAGAAAGTTGTGCAAGTTGTGCAACAATCACCACAATCTAATTCCAGAACAGTTTCATCACCCCAAAAATAAAACTCTGTATTCATTAGCAGTCACTGTCTATTTCCTGTTCCCCAGTCCCTGGCAACCAACCACTAACCTGCTCTATGGGTTTGCCTGTCCTGGACATTTCATACAAATGCAGTCATATGATTTGTGACCCTTTCTGACTTACTTCTTTCATTGAGCATAATGTTTTCATTCATCTTACAGCACATTATAAACTGAATGTTTGTATCTCCCCCCACAAATCCACAGGTCAAACCCCTAACTCCCAGTGTGATGGTATTTGGCAACGGGAACTTTGGGAGGTAATCAGTGTTGGATGAAGTCATGGGGGTGGGGCCCTCATGATGGGATTAGTGCAGATAAGAAGGGCTTGCTGTCTCTCCCTGCTCCCACAGAGGTCATGTGACCACACAGAGAAAGTAGCCTTCTGCAACCCAAGGGGAGAGTCCACATGAAACCAACCATGTGACTCACACAGACACGGGGTATCCAACTGAGGGAACAAAACTGCTCTAAGAACATGGAGACAGAGGACAGGAGCAGGTGAATGGCGTCCATATTCAAGGTCAAACTGAGCAAGTCTGTGTTCTCTGGCTTCTGTATGATTTCCTTGCCTTAGTCGTACTGAAAAAAAAAAAATCCCTGGACCAGATGCTTCAAAGCTGAAGGCCCAGGACCAGTGAAGAAAGCCTGGAAGATATTTGCATCAAATCACCTATATCTATGCCCTCCTCAGCCAGGTCCTGTCCACTGTCATAGGGGTCTATTTCTTGGGATCAGAGAGGAGGGTAAAAGCTTCCCCAACTTCCCTGAACTTCTCCTCCCGCTCCAGCGCTTCTCACTGGCTCCGCTGTGCCCAGCCACATGGTGCATCAAAGTCCACTTCCAATAAAGGTTCTTGATCTTGTCTTTTTATTTTTACTTATTGAGTTGAGAGAGAGAGAGAGAGAGAGAGAGAGAGAGAGAGAGAGAAAGAGAGAGAGAGAGAGAGAGAGAAAGGAGGGAAGGGAGGGAGAAACATGGATTTATTGTTCTACTTTTATATGTATTCACTGGTTGCTTCCAGGCCAGGGCTAGTGATCTTTTTCCTTTTACCCTTCTCCAATTCCAGCTGTGCATTTTTTAGTTGCTCCTGTTCGTGTGTTTTCTCCGCCCGATACACGTTTTCATAGGCCTCCTGCTTCTTCAGACCCTTGATCATGTACCTCAGTGTCCATGTAGCACTGAGCTCTTCTCCAGAAGGCTTTCACACACATGCCACCGAGCTCCCCTGCATCTGTGCAGTCTTCTATTGCATCATATGGTTCCCTAAGCTTGGAATGAACTGTACCCGAGA